TCCTACAGTGCCAAAGCAGAAGAACCAGTTGTTTATTAGAGCCCAGGCTACAAGGTACATTGTCACTGGATAGGGAACTTCAGAGTAATAATGAAGTTGTACGACCGAGTGTTAATCTCAGGGTCATGCTTTCCTTTTTTTTCTTTTTTCCTGCTTAAGTTGAATCTCGTTTGAAATGACTGGATGTTGTTAGCACCATTGTGCCATCGTGTTCAATCCCTCTGACTCTCAAGCTGCCTTTGTCTTTAACCCTCAATGGCACAGGACTGCTGGGCTTTTCTAGTTGGTGTCTTCTTCTGTCTCCTTCCTCAGTACTGCTTACTCGGCTTCTAGTTTCTTAATTCTTTATCTCCAGAAGGAAAATCAGCCCTTCTTTATGTGGAATTTAGGATGTTGAGAGGAAAAACCAGATAAAGTATGTTTAATTTTATAAATTGCTTGTTTGGTAGTAGGCTCTGAGGAATGAATGCTTTAAATGTATTACTTTGGGGTTTTTTGCATCTTTTAAAAAAATTTTTTAATTGCGTTGATGATAGTGGAATATGACCAGCAGATAGGCTTTCTTTCTTTCTTTTTAAATTTCTTGTTGAGAATATACACAGCAAAAATATAAACCAAGTTTCTACCTGTGCATTTCAGTGATAATGATCACACTCTTGGATTTGTGCAACCACTCTTACTCACCTATTCTGTACTGTTCCTCCCCTGTTAACGTAAAATCACTTCTTTTGAGTTGCTGTTGTCAGTTTGATTACATAGAGATAGATCTTAAAAAAGTAAAGAGCATAATGTTCAAGATAGACCTTTTTTCACTAGTTTAAGCTGAACCTTTGTGTTTTAAGATTTCAGGGGATGGTTTGGGTTTAAGTTTTAAAGATTAGGGTAATTGTTTCTGGAGCTCATCCAGCCTTCATGGCTCCAGAAAGTCTGGATTCCATGAGAACTTGAGATTCTGCTCTGCGTTTTCCCCTTTTGATCAAGATTCTTCTAAAGAATCTTTAATCAGAATGTTCTATAATGGTACCCTGTAGGGCAGGGGTTCTGTTCTAGATAGAAGCAGTGCTTTTCCCACAGGTCCTACTTTGGGTCCCTGTTGGCAGGCTCATCTCCATGTTTGATGCATTTCTCATCAAGCATCTGTGCCTTCTCTGAGGGACTCAGAGCTTCCAGCCCCAAAGACTAGATTTCTCATAGAATCTTGCACTCAGTGGCATCACCAATTGGAAGAAGGTACTTTGGGAGAAGAAATGAGTACATCTACATAGTTAAAAATTGAGCCCGTTTGAGACAGTCTCAAAATATTAGTTATATCCAAATAAATTTTAGAAAGTTTGTTTTTTGTTTTCCTACTTTTACAAGTATTCTAATGGTCATTTGTGGTGATTAAGTTTTGTGTGCTGAAATTCTTGGCTTTGGTCATTGCAGAAACGTGAAGAGGGCTGGTGGGTGGTGATCGGAGATGCCAAGTCCAACAGCCTCATCTCCATCAAGAGGCTGACGCTGCAGCAGAAGGCCAAGGTGAGTGTTTCCTCTGGCCCTATGAAAGCAGGGACAGGTGAGCTAGCTTCCTGATTTATGAAAGCAGGGACAGGTGAGCTAGCTTCCTGATTTCTACGTGCTCTTTCCAGGTGAAGCTTGACTTTGTGGCGCCAGCCACTGGTGCCCACAACTATACTCTGTACTTCATGAGTGACGCTTACATGGGCTGTGACCAGGAATACAAATTCAGCGTGGATGTGAAAGAAGCTGAAACTGACAGTGACTCGGATTGAGTCGTAAGGCATTCTACTCTTACGCAGAGGAGAGAGCCATTGAATCTGGATTAGGAACACTTTCAGTTACATGGGTTCTTCGTTGTGGAGATCAAGTCTGTCAGCGTGAGCTCTGGCCTGTAAGTGCCAGGGCTGTCCCCACCTTGCTCTGCTACTTTTCTCTTTTGTCACCTTGCAGTTCAAACTTTCTGTCTGCAGGTGTTGTGTTGCTTTGCTGATCATTCATAAACGGTGTATAGCATTTTCAGATGTGTTATTTTGTAGTTCGAGTTGTGTGGTCTAATAAAATACTTTGGAAAAAAACCCAAACATTTTCTTCTGTCTTTGCAATGTTTACAAATTAAAGGTTTCCTTTGTCTAACATAAGGCCCTTAGTGAATAAGGTTTGCTTGCTTTTTTGTAGGCAGCAGCCTTTATAATGAATACTTAAGAGAAGACAACGATGATCTTCAGTTGGGCTATCATTTGTAGCCGTTTCAGTCCCCAGGGAAGAGGGATTCCGTAGCTTCTCTGCGGGCTTCCAGTCTTGGTCCACCACCAGTCTGTTACCCAGATAACAGCACTTCTGCAGGAACTGAGGCTTGGTGGGTAGATCAGTGTCCCCCCGCAGAAGACAGCACCAGGAAGGGGGTTAAAATACACCAGGTGGATGTGACCCATGGTAAACTGATTTTATAATCCAGAGCTATAGATTTTCCTTTGCAAATTCTTGCCTTTTTTTTTTTTTTTTTTAAAGGAATGCATGCTATTAACTCGAAAGACTGTTCTGAAGGTTATTTTCCCTAGGCCAGTAGTTTTCAAATTATTTCTACTACAGTCCCTAGAGGTGGACATCATGCTTGGTAAAGTGGGAGGGTCAGTGAAAAAAAACCCTCAGTGAGCTGGATTGGCACAATTAGCAGCAACAGTAGGCTCAAACATAACAAGCTGGCAGGACCAGGCATCAGACCCATCATTCTGTTGTGTCATCATGAGTGGAAACCAACTTGACACACCTAACTATAAAGTTGAAGGACCTCACAATGTTATTTAGGTTATATTCATTGCTATATTAAAATAGATATTAAACGTTTGGGGGAAAAAATTTCATTTTAAAATACTTGCTACATGGTTTTTTATGAAAAAAAGTTTTTTCTAAAAATTGAGAAGAGTGACATTTTATAATTTGCAATTATCTTTTAATATCTGCCTTAAGTGAAAACCGGATACTCAGCTGTTTCTATAATCTATTATATGTTGTTTAAGTATGATAAAGAAAAACTGATTTCACACAGATAATGTAATTGGAAAAGGGAGTAGATTTTTAGTAGCCTTTTCAGGTGATTACTGATATTCTTTGGGATACAATAAGTGGTCGTTTATTAGAGGTTAGGTGCAATGTGGAATCTGAAGTCGTCAGTCAACTTTGTTCTATTACCATCTGTTCTAATACTTTGAATGGCTCCCTTACAATGCATGGTTTTATGGCATGCATTGAGCATTTGGAAAATAGATGTTCACTGAACTATGCATCTCTCAAATGTTTTCATTGCACTTTATTTTAACATCACACTTGTTAATACCATCAGTTCCATCAAAAAAAGTCTTCAAATACTGGAAAACGATCAAGGTCTTAGTAGTGATAATATAGGTGTTCAAAAATTCGAATTTTTGCTTGAATGCTTTCATCATTGACAATACTTTTTTGTTTCCCTTGAAGTCAAAAGCTCATTTAGTTGAGAAAATGTCAAATAGCCAAGTTCAAATACCATAGTTTACTAGTTCTATCAGGAAGAACACAGATAATTGCCTCGTAACAGCTACTGTACTTAAGTAAGGTATGCATGCTTCCAGAATTAGTGTTCCAGAGTGGTTGTAACAAAATACAGAATGGTGGCTGAGAGGAACATAAATTTATTGTTTCACATTTCTGGAGGCTACAAGTCTAATTCAAATGTGTTGACAAGGCCATGTTCTCTAATGACTCTAGACTGTCCCTTCACATCTCTCTGGGCTCTGATAGTCCCAGGTGAACCTTAGCTACAGCAAAACCCCATGGTCACATGGCAATCTTCCCTGTTTTATAACGACCCATTCTATTCCAGTATGACCTCATGTTAACTGGTATCTTCAAAGACATTTTCCAAACAAGGTCATGTTCCGTTGCCGGGACTAGAACATCAAGCTGTCTTTTGGAGGGGGACACAATTCATTCCTAACACTTCACATTTTTCAAGAGTCTAAATTTTTGGTTTTGTATTGGCTTGATCACAGTTGTTTTTACGTAAGAATGGTAAGACTTTGTGTGGCAGTGACTATAGTTCCTAATAGTTTTGTACCATTGCCATGATTCATGCCAAGACGCTGACTGTTGGTCCCCTTAAAAGAGTGATCAGACCCCCATTCTAAGGACTACTGCTCTAGGTGTCACTCCACAGCTGTCTTGAAAATGTGTGGTCATTTCTATAGTGCTAAACAGTCCTCTAAGTGAAAACCCATTTGGAAGTGACTGTCAGAAAACAGCCTGACAAAGACTGAAGAACTGATAGCTTCCGTTTCTCAACCTTCCAGAGGGTTGCTATGAGTCAGAATCAACTGAACATCTTTTTTTTCCTTAATTACCTCCTACCCCCATGAGTCTTACACTAAGAGGCTTCAAAAAGTTTGGGAGAAAATGGGAAAATTAACCCCTGGAACTTTTTGAAGGCCCCTCATGTATACAATGGCCCTTTAGAGGCCTAAGAATCCTTGTACTGTTACATTTTGCCCTTGACCCAATATTTTTTTTTTTCCTATTCACAATATATGTCCTGTAGCCAATAATAACTGTTTTAGGGGTCATGTCTTTCCCTATTTCTCACCATTCCCAATTGCCATCACAGGATAATGGCTCAGAAGGTAGATGAGTTTCTATAGCAAAGCAGAAGTGTCCCTTATGTTAAATAAACCCACATTAGAAAAAAATTAAAAGATTTCAACATTGGTTGACTATCTCACATGGAAAAGCAGAACCAATTTCAGAATAGGAATCACCATGGAATTCTCATAAATTGTGAGTGCCTTTAAATATAAAATAGGACCTGGGACTCAAGCAGATTATTTATATAAAACATACAATTTCAAGCAACGTCCTAGTTCCCATCCCATATATATGTATAGTCTATTCACTCCCCATATTTTAACACTGTATTTTCTCCTTGTGCCCTAAAGCAAGCAAAACCTGTTGTTGAACAACAACTGCACCAATTCTTCTGTGGCTCTTTACTGAGGGTCCCACCTCACAGACAGGGAAATGTGAATGGATATCTACTTCCACACTTCTACCAAGTCTGAATGGAACAGACTAAGTTATATCAAGGGTAAAGATGGTCCTCCAAAGCTTCCCAGAGGCTGGAAAGGTCATGTGATAATTTCTGGGAAGCCATGATTCTGTCCGTTGTAGAGATGGCTCAGAGGCCTTCAGGTTGTTGGTATTTCCAGAAGGCCACCTCCCCATCATCACTGCAGGAGGCCAGAAGCCCTAACTCCTTGGGGTTCCAGGCCACACAGTTGACATCCTGGGAATGGGCCTGAGGCAAGTGGGCTGTCAGAGAAAAGGTGGGCTGCTGTGGATTGGAGCCAGGGTCCTCCTCAAACACTCGGATGGCATCATCTCCACAAGCGGTAGCCAGGGCCCCTGTCAGCTGACACCTGGGAAGAACATCAGTACACCACACTGTAGGTAGCTTCTAACCCAACACTAAGCAACTCAACTAGGAGAGATTTGTTCTACAGTCCCTGGGCAGTTCTCTCCTCAAATGTCAGGCCTCTACTAAAAATCTCTATCCCTACTGCAAACCACAACACAGATAGTTTGAGTCCACTGGCCGTTCTGCAGGAGAAAGATGAGGCTTTCTGCTCGCCCCCCACCCGCCACCCAAATATTTATAGCCTTTGAAACCCTATACAAGCTCATGATGAGTTGGTTCTGACTCGACGATCTAATATATGCAGTTCTGTTGTGGTGCTGTAAGATAAGCACTGGACTGCTAACCACCAGGTCAGTGGTTTGAAACCTACCAGCCGCTCCTTGGAAACCCTATACAAGGTTGCTATGAGTTGGAATTAACTCGATGGCACCTAACAGCACCAGATAATCCTAATATATATATAATATGACAAACATCATCCCCTAGAAGTCCTGGTGTGGCACTGTAGGATAAGCACTGGACCACTAGGTCAGTGTGAACTGCAAGTTTGGCGGTTCAAACTTACCGGTCACTCTTTAAAAATCCTATACAGGGTCACTATGAGTCGGAATCGTCTTGACAGCACTTAACACCAATCATTCCTAAGTTTTTAAATGCATCCTTCTAATTTTCCCCAATATATTTAACCTAAAAACCTACATACAATTAATTCTTGGTGGGGTAGAGGTGATGAGGAAAGGATTAGGAGATGAAGTCTCACCAAGCAACATCGTAAATGGTCCTGGAGTGAAAGCCCGACAAAGTGCAGATACATTTCCAGCTGGGGTCAGAGCCGCTGCATGCCACCCCTGCAGGACAAACTTTCTTGAGCCCACAATGTGTCAATGTCCTGAGCACCTCAGGGGAGTAAGTGCCTTACTGGAGCAGTGGATCTGAGCCGGAATCAACTAGACAACAGTGGGTGAGGGAAAGCCCAGCTCCTTCCCCTGCTCACAATCAGGATTCCTTGGCTCCATCTCACTATCCCCATTCTCGATGATCTGCCTCACACACTGAGGCCAGATGGGTCTCTCTAAAGCAGAATTCTGTGACGGACACATTCTTGTTCTTTAAAAACCCTGCTACTGCAGACTAAGTCTGACTAGTCAGTCTGCTTTTTAAGGCCACCCACCACCCCCTTATATTCTATACTCTGCCTCAACTTGTCACCATTCTTGGCATAAATCCTACCTCCAGTGCCTTAGCTCATGCTGTTGTTTCCATTTAAAATTCTCTTCCTTGTCGCTGCTTTTCATGTTAGGTTCCTATACACCCTTTCAAGTATGGATGAAATGGCCCCTCTTCCACAAACTTGTCCTGACTCTTCTCATTTGGAGCCCTCTGTGGCACATCTCACTTTCTACCCCAATTGCTGCCATTCATGTACGGTGTCCAAGCCTCTCAACAGACTGTAAACTTCTGGAGAGATGTGCCTCCTTCAGTTCTCCTGCTGGATCCTCACCTTGCTCATTTCCTGGTGGATACTGGCGCCAGATGCGCACGGTACGGTCATCACTACAAGACGCCAGGCGCTGACCACTGGGGTCAAAGGCCAAGCTCCACACAGTGGATTCATGGCCCTCAAGCGTGGCACAGCAAACCCAGTCATCTTCTTCCTCCCGGTACAGCTTCACGGTGTCATCGTAGCTGGCAGAGGCCAAAAGCTGGGTGGGTGGGGGAGGGAGAAATAGCACTTGTCTGTAGAGCATAGGAAGTACCTGCAGTTTCTCTCTCTGCCAGGACAGGACAGCCCTCGGGGTCAATTTTACAAAAGGACTAATCCCTGTGGGTCACAGATGAAGATCCCTATAAAAGCAAGGTCAGGGCTGAAGAGTAGAGGGAGAGCAGGCACAACCCTCCACACCAGAATTCTTTCCCACCAGACACCTGGTCTAACTCCTACCTCCTGGCTTGGGTGCCAAACCACATGCTTGACATCTTGTGTATGGGAGTTGAGAACACTGACACATTCATACTCATCCTCTTCATCAACTGTGGGAAGGAGAAAGGAGAGCACTCAAGAGCTAATCCTGTAAGGGACACAAGCGGGACTGTCAGTTAGCTCCATCTTGTGGGAACTGTACTCACCTTCCCAGACCCATACACTTTTATCTCGGCTGCAGGTAGCCAGAAGGTTTCCAGATGGGGCCCAGGCAACTGACTTGACCTCATTTTCATGGCCTTCAAGAGTAGTTACACACTGTGAATGAAGAAGAGAGACAACAATCAATGGTAGCAAAGGTTCCTAGGGTCCTCCTCCTCACAGGCACAACCCAATTGGCCCAGGTTAGCTCAGGTTCTGGAACTAAGCCTGGGTAGCAAACACAGTAATCCTGATCCCACCCCATCTGTTACCTCAAAATCATCCTGGCTCTTTTTCCAAATACAAGTGGTAGCATCAAAGCTGGCAGAAGCCAGGTAATTCCCACAGGGGGACCAGGCTACCTTCCGCACTGTACGCTGGTGGCCATCTGAAAGGATGGATTTGCAGATCCAGCTGTCACCTGAGGGCAGAGAACAGGCCAGGCCCTAGAGTGGATGCACTAAAAAATGCTGAAGCACTATAAGTGCCACTTGAAGTCGAAGGCTGGTATGGAGCCAAGCCCATGTACTTAACAACATGCTTTTAGAGAGTCCTAGTGTGGTGCTAGACTAAAAAGTCGGCTTTAACCTCAAGGTCGGCAGTTCAAGTTTACCAGTTGCTTCTTGGAAACTGTGTACAGGGTTGCTATGAGTTGGAACCAATTCAGTGGCACTCAACAACAACAAAACTGATTCAATTTCCCCTTTATAGTCTTAGTGTGGCGCCATAGAAGAAGCATTGAACTGATAACCACAAGGTTGGCACTTCAAATCCACCAGTAGTTCCTTGAAAACCGTATATGGGGTTACTATGAGTCGGAACTGATTCGAGGGCACTTAAAAACAACAATTTCCCCTGATGACATCTTTCTAAAACAAATCTGAGAAGTCCATCCTCCTGATTTAAAACTGTCAATGGCTCCCAAATGTCCTCGGAACAAAAAGTAAACTTCACCATTTTGCTACCACCCTTCTTTCTCTCCCTATTCGTCTGTTTCAGCAACTGTCAACGATTCCCTCTACAATTCCAACCTGTCCATTCACGTTTTTGTTTCTAGTACTTGCAGAGGAAACACACAACTCAAAAGTAGCCTCCACTACCTTTCTCTTGGCCTGTATTCAATTTCAGGGTCAGCCTCTTCAGCAGGCTGTGCATTTCCTGAATCCAGCACCTAATTTTTTTGCACACACACAGCTCTAGATGCAAGGGGTTGCACAGCCATGCCAGGTCTTACCCTCTGTGCCCCAAATGCGGACTCTACGGTCGCCCCCGCACGAGGCCAGCAGGGTTCCTGCTGGGTTCCAGGCAAGGTACCAGCAACGAGAGTCCGGGTGCGCCGGGACACGGCCTAACAGCACCAATGAATCTTTCATGGCGTCCTGGCACAGGGTGATGAGGAAGTGGGTAGAAGTGGGCAGAGTCCGTTAAGCCAACCGCGGGTTCCACCGCGCAAGTCCCCACAATACCAACTTCAGCCTCCCGTGGCCGCAGGGTCCACCCGCTTCCGCCTGAAGGCTCAGGTAGTTCTGGGAACTGAAGTGCTCGCCGCTGCCGCCGCGCTGCCCCCTGGGAGTTGTAGTTGTTGGCTCCACCATCGGAAAGCATCGTGGAACTACACTGAACTACTCGTCCCATGAGGCCCTGCGCAGGGAGCAAGAGGCGCGCCCGGAGTGTGACGTGTACGGAGGACGGGGCGGGGAGCAGAAGGAGGTGGGGCACAGAAAGAGGAAGCCGGAAGTGGATCGATCCCGGGTCGGTCCGGGCGTTGCGGGATTTGGGCCTGGGTTTGCTTGGCCCCGGGCAGATGAGGAACCTGTGACGGGGTGGAGCGGCGCCGTCTCGGCCCTGAGGCTTGTTGACCGGTGAGGAACAGAGGTTGACGTGGAGAGGATCCTTTTCTTCGCTCAGGTCGTAACCCAGAGCGCATTTCCCGGATCCCTAGTTCCCCATCCCCATTTCCGATCTCTGCGGCCCAGCCAGGTCCTCCACCCCTGGGAACCCTCTGGCCAAGATCCGGGATTCCAGTCTCCTTTCCACCAGATGCCAAGACCCTAGGTACCTCTGTCCCCACCTTTCCTGCCTGTGCAGACTCCACCCTCACCCGGTCCCCGGTACTCATCTGGTCCTTGTCCCCCACCCTGGCAGTCCCATTTCAGAGACCCCTGCCTCTGTCCCCGAATCCCTTGCAGCCGCTCAACTGGCGGCTCCACCCCCATCCCCAGGTGTCCGCTTTGATAGCCCTGTGCCTCCTGGCTCACCTGACGTAAGGCCAGCGCGTTGCTCTTCTCTCCGCGACAGGAAAGCTCTGCGCTCCCCGCGAAGGTCGGCAGCAACTAGTAGCGACCGCGGAACGGCGGCGAGCGGCCCCGGGTATGTACGCCCCTGGAGGCACTGGGCTGCCCAGCGGGCGCCGGCGGAGGACCCCGGGAAGCAGCGCTCTGCCCAAGCAGCCGGAGCGGAGCCTGGCTTCGGCCCTGCCGGGCGCCCTGTCCATCACGGCGCTGTGCACTGCCCTCGCCGAGCCCGCCTGGCTGCACATCCACGGCGGCACCTGTTCCCGCCAGGAGCTGGGGGTCTCGGATGTGCTGGGCTACGTGCATCCGGACCTCCTGAAAGGTGAGGGCTCTGCGTGCCGGCCCTCTTCCTTCTGGGCTACCGGGCCTCCTCGGCGGCGAGAAGCAGAATGTGGTATTGGCTGAAGCAGAGACAGCAGGGACAGGCATTTGGTTGTAGGAAACGGCTCCATCATTCCTGTTTGGTGTTCATGCCCACCAGGTGGCTCTGTTTGGGGTCGGGCCTTTCATTAATTCTGATGTTATTCAGCTAAACCATGCTAATCGAGATTGCTGCTATTTTAGGAATATGCCAGAGGAAGGGCGCTGTGTATGGAGAAAACATAAGGGTGCTAGGCATCACAAATAGCTGTCACCTTCTAATGAACCTGTGAGTTACAGGAAGGCTTCTTTGGGGCAGGCTGATCCATGGAAAGAGCATGAGGCTTTTAATATGACCAAATTTTCAAAGACACTTTGGAATTCTGAGGTAACTGGATTTTTATTAGAGAAAAAAGGAGTCTGTGGCATTTTATGGGTTCCATTGCCATCTTCACTGAAGCAGCCCTTGGACCCACAGTAAGTGTGCCTGAAGTAAGGTCGATTTGTTTATCACCATGCCTTCTGGGAGGTTGGCAGAGGAAAAGGGAAAAGGGACTGTCTCTTTCCTGGATGGGGTGTGTGTGTGTGTGTGTATCAAAGCCAGCATCTTGCCCAGTCCTGTCTCCATAATAAGTACAGGTTGTGTGGTGTGTGGACCTGACTGCCCTGCCCAGTTGTAACGCTAAAAAAGGTCAGTGGCCCCAAACAGCCCTTAGAAACAGTACAGGTTCATCATCCCCAAGGTCTTTCAAACCAGTCTTGAAGTTCTCACCATGCCACTCCTTCAGTACATTCCAAATGTTTGCTACCCCACTCATCAGATAGCCCTTCCCATTAGTTATCATCTGGTTGGTTATTGCTCTAAGAATTCAGGAACTGGGATTGGTGAAGAGGACGAAGTTACCCCTCTGTACCTTGGGTCATACGCCACTTCTGTAAGTCTCAGCAGAAAAGCGCATCCTTGTGTCTCTAGTGGTATCTTCCTCTGAGCATTTTCTTACTGTCTTGAAACTCTTGAGTTTGTAAGGACTTAGGATAATTTTATAGAGGACAGAATGGGGTTTCTGGTTTGGTCTCAGATTTTACTGTGAGAGACCTATGAGAAGCAGCTTTTTTTCTGGCCCCTTGTAAATTGCACACAATCCATCAAGTTCGAGTTGAAGCTGAATGATTTTTCCCGAAGTACAGCCCCCTGCACTTGCTTTCTTTGAAGTACACCTGCTACCTTTGTACCACTTCATCCATGCTCTTTTGCAGTTGAACCCCCCCATGGTGTTTCAGTGTTTCAATAGCTTGTTGTTGTTGTTGTTAAGTGCCGTCGAGTCGGTTCCGACCCATAGCGACCCTGTACAGGGTTTCCGAGGGTGTAAATCTTTACGGGAGTAGAAAGCCTCATCTTTCTCCCGCGGATCGGCTGGTAGTTTCGAACCACTGACCTTAAGGTTCGCAGCCCGATTCGTAACCACTACGCTACCAGAGCTCCTTCAGATCATTCCTGGGGAAGGGCGTATAAAACACGTGTGATGGAAGAAGAAGCGATTTGATCCCACATTCTTATTGTAGAGGCTCAGGGAGCTGTGGCTCAGAGAAGTAAGGGGATCGCCTAATGTCCACATGGCTGGGTGTAGCACAGCTGGCATCTGTTGACTCCTAATATAAAGTGATTTGTTTCTTTTCTAGCCCATTGTCTTGTTTCAGCTGTCATAAGGAGTCATTTGACAGTTATTTCACTTTGGTGTGGGTCCTTGTCAAGGTCATGTTAAAGTTAATGTCAAGGTCATGTTAAAATTAAAAATGAAGTCTTTGTGTGCAGGTTCTTCTTTGTTTATATCTGTGAGCAAAGATCCTTACCCATGGATAAGGTCACTTGAGTTGTAACCGATTTGATGGCATCTAACACCACCACAACCCATGGGTAGGTTCTCCCTGCCTGTCTCTGTCCCATCTCCTTGGCTGTTGTTGTCTGGGAACCCTAGATGCCCATTAGTAGGAGAGTTGGCAGTAGAACCTCATGCACAGAAGAAGGGAGGAGTCAGGAGGCTTCTGATTGCTTCTCCTTTTTCTTTTCTTGGACTTGTTGGTTTTTGGGTACTCAGTGGGCCTTTGCGCAGGTTCCTGGGTGGCACAAATGGTTTTCACTTGACTACTAAAGGGAGTTCCGGTGTGGCACTGTGGATTCATACGTTGGACTGCAATGTTGGTTTGAACCACAAGGTCAGCAGTTCAAGCTTACCAGCTGCTCTTCAGAAACCCTATACAGGGTCGCTGTAAGTCAGAACCAACTCGATGGCATTTAACAACAACAACTAATTTAAAGGTGGTTGATTCAGATCTTCCCAGTGGTGTTGCAGAAGAAAGACCTGACTCTCAGCTTCCATAAAGGTTGCTGTGGCCTAGAAAATTCTGTGGAGCAGTTCTACTCCGCAGCACGTGGGATTGCCATGAGTCCGAATCAGAATCGACTTGACAGCAATGAGTTGTGGGGAGGGGCTTTGGGTATATGGTGTTTTGTGCTGAGTTCAGGGCCTGACATATTTCCTGGTGCACAAGACTGGAGTACACTCCATCTCAGGAGGAAGCAGAGCTATGGAATACAGATATAATGCATATAGGTGGTTCCAGAGGGAGAACAGCCCCTACCAGGTGATGCAAAGTGGGGAGGGCTGGCAGACTCTGGAGCAGCGTTGTGTGGTTCTTAGCTGCCCCATGCTTGGTTTTTAGCAGCCATTGGTTTTAGTGTATGTATCCTAAACAACATCTGGATTTAGTAGAGATTGTCATTATTCCCACTTCCAAAAGGATTCTGGCTTAGGGAGGTTAGGTACCTTTCTCAAGGACACAGAGCTAATAGGAAAGGCATGACTCCAAAGTGCATACTCTTTCCAACACACCTTTGTGCCTCACAGAAAAGCTCCGGGTTTCTTTTTCCCTCAGTCAAGCTGCCCAAGACTTTTCATTTCCTTATTCTAGTTGTGTTTTATCACAAGCCCAGTGAAAACTGCTTTCCGACCCTCATCACCTCAGTGTTTGGGCTCAGTGTGGTGATCCTGAGACAAAGCCCCTTGTCCTCCAGCTGTCATTCACAGAGGCTTTCAAGCTTTAGCAAATGCTGGCCAACTCAAAAGATTCTATCTTCTGCTCCTCTGAGCCAGCTCCACAGATACCCCCAGACTTCTAGGGGCCCAAAACTGCGGGGGGAAGGGGGGAAGAGGGGCACAGTCATTCCTGCCTCTCAAGTGTGGCCAGGCTGCAGCCACAGGAAGCATCTTTGGAGAATGAGGAAGTTTGTAATTTGGAGCCAGGTGAATCATGAGTGACAACAAGCCCCTGGAAGATCAAGTGCCTTCCAGGGAGGCCCGGGTGCCTGAAGGTGGTGACTGATGCAACTGGCACTTGTGGTCCAGTGGAGCCTGACCTCAGAGGCAGCTCTCCTAGGACCACTGGTGGTGGCCCGGCCAGGCACTAGAGGGCCTTGTTGAGGTCCTGTGTCAGCAGCCTGTCTGGAAGCTTAAAGAAGTCACAGTGGGAAGATTTCTGTCAGTGGGAGGAACGAGTGTGGAGAGGGACTGGAGCAGATGGACATTCCTGGCAGCTTTCAGAAAGTGCCTCTAACTCTCAGGGACTCCAGTGAAGGGACCCAAGAAGGGAACTGGTCAGAAACCACTGGAACCTTTCTGGCTGCAGCCTGTTTGGGTCAGGTGGTGGTTAGAGCAGTGGGCAGGTAGGCAGGAAGATCTGGGCCTTCAAAACAAATCCAGCCCAGTGGTGACTCACCAGTGACCTTGGGCAAAGTCACTTCCTTGGGATCCTGTAACAGCAGCTGCTGCCTTCTTCCTTGATGACTGGAGGAGACAGTCAAACAATGTTTACCAAAATAAACTGGCCAAAGCACCATTGGAAGGTCAGATGTGTTCCTATATGTTAGCAGAGTGTTGTTGTTAAGTACCATGGAGTCGGTTCCGACTCTTAGTGACCCTGCACAGGGTTTCTGAGGCTGTAAATCTGTACAGGAGCTGAAAGCCTCATCTTTCTCCTGTGGAACAGCTGGTAGTTTCACTGACTGGGGTTAGCAGCCCGATTCATAACCACTACACTACTAGAGCTCCTTATGTTAGCAGAGTAGTGCAGACTGAACCACTGATTCCAATTTAAAATCCACCCTGCTCCATGTACCTTTTCTCGCCCAAAGATAAATTATGAATGCATAATGGTTGTGTTTTTTCCCCCTCCTTGCCATACTGCTGAGGGAGCAAAGGCTCTGAGTGAGTCTGGGACTACTCAGCCTGTCCATGCTGTGTGCTCTAAGACCCTCCCATGAAGCACAGTGGGCATGCTCCTTGGGTATCTGCTAGCATCGCTCCAAGGGAAGTTTGCATTTGGCTTCCCCACTCAGCCTCACTGATGGTTACTCACAGCTTTGGAGTAAAGAAAGCAGTCAGGTTGAAACAAAATCTGGGTTTTGTTTTGAAAAATGCATTTGACAAAAGCATTCCTTTCTTGACCTGTCTTCACCCTAGTTGGGTAGGTGCTTCCCCCGGCCCACAGTGGTAGATGTGTGTAGCTGAGGAAGACTCAGTGTGCCAGAAATGACACTGCTGTGGCCTGCAGCACCGAGGTAGTGGGCCAGTGACGCTCACTGCTCCCTGTGGTAGGTAGATGTTGAGGGAGCAGAGGCAGAGGAAGGCGACGTTTCTGGTTGGTCCAGGACTTGTCAGCAGCCTAGTGCTTCTGGTGTTCCTTGCTGCTCCCCGCTTGCCCTTCAGAAGCCCTGCCCCACGCAGTTACTGCCCAGTGATTCCCACTCTGAGTGTTGTTGACTGCTCAGTGGCCCAAGAGATTCCATGCTTCCATCTGTTCCCTTAGTGAGTGGGTGGCTCGCAGGGTGTCTGTCTGACATTATTCATTAGCTTTTGACCCTTCATTCAAATATAACTCTTCAGAGTTTGATTTTCTCCCCACTGGGGAAGAATGAAAAGGCTAACTCATACTTGGTGATTCTGAGCAGCCCCTTGCAGGACAGTCTGACCTGGATTTGGAGTCTGCTCTGCACTGACTCCTAGAGGCGCAGTCTCTTTATGAGGTCTTGTGATGAATCCCCCAGAGGGGAGTGAGGGTAAATAAGACAGCATCTGGCTGATCTGCATGCAAAAGCTATTCTTGGAGGAGGTCATAGAGAACTTGTAAACAGGGTTTTTTTTTTAAAAAACAACAACAACAAAAACACATGCACTTTCATATCATTCAAAATCAAATACATTACAAAACATAGAACACATACCAAAAGACAAACCATTTTGAATTGAGTGTGATGACCCCCGGTGTGTCTGAGTAACATTGTGCTCCATAGAATTTCCAGTGGCTGTGATCTCTGACAAGTAGACCACAACACCCTTCTTCCCGAGGTACTTCTGGGTGGATCCAAACCACAAACCTTTTGCTTAGTAGTGATTTGTACCCAGGAACTCCATAGATCACACAGGAGCATATGTAAAATACGTGCATAATAAAATGAACATCCTCGTGCTTGCCACCTAACTTAAGAAACAGAACATTACCAATATCTTTTAAACCAGACCAGTTGCTGTTGATTGCTCGTTGAATTACTACTTGTAAGTGAGATTTTTCAGACACACAGTCTGGTGTATGCTCAGTGATGCTACTGGAATCTGAATCCTGCAGAGCTGTGTGTGATGTAAGCCTTTAAGCTCTGCCTCTGGCAGGTTATTTTTGGAAGCACTAGAAGAACAGCATGTTTACCCCTGCCCCTGCCTCACTCTATATGGATCTCAAGGAGCAACATCTCAGAGAGCTTTTTCACAATATTCCAAATAAAGCCAAGAGAAGCCCCTGTCCCCTGGAGCTTTTCTTTCAACAAGGCCCCTTGGGTTTCTAGACTCTTCAGGCCCACAATGCTTTCTCAGACTATGCAGGGCTGGATTTAAATGAAGGCTGGTCATGGTTGTAGGCAGAACTAATGGCAAGCTGCTTGACAGTAGGCAGCCATCCAGGCTGGATATGTGGGCTCAAAACAGATGGTGCACAAACAAGAGAACATGACAGATGGCTCTAAGGGCAGCATGGTGGGTGACCTGAAGCTAGACCTAGGTGTGAGTATTATCTGCACCTGACCAGCATCTGCCTGGTGAAGTCTGTCCAAGGCAGGGTTAGTTCAGTGTCAAAGGTTGGGGGTGAGGGGGAGTGTGTATATATGTGTGTGTGTGTAATTTGTATCTACTCTCATTCTCCAATGTAGGATGTCGGGCCCTCTGCCCAAAACTTAATGCTACTGGTGTCTGATGGTTTGACTCTGCTTTGTTGGGTTCAGGTCCCCTCCCCAAGTTCCTGGATTTTCTATATAATCAGTCAGCCTATTCTGAGGTCTAGAACCAATGCTTCATGAGTGTAGGGCTGTTTGTTAAAACCTAGATTCCCAGGCTCTAGAGCTATAGCTCAGAAGCTCTGGTAGCATAGTGGTTATGAATCGGGCTGCTAATCTCAAGGTTAGCAGTTCAAAACTACCAGTTGTTCCACAGGAGAAAGATCAGACTTTTTGCTCCCATAAAGCTTTATAGCCTTGGAAACCCTATGGCATACCACCACCACCAGATCTATAGGTCAGAATTGCTGGGGCCTTGGGCCATGCTTGCAACTAGCAGCCCAGGTGAAGCTGATGCTCACGAGATCCATCCATAACCATCACCCTTGTTCTTCTAGCCTGAGATCAAGATTTAGGAAAGGAGCCTTAGTCTGAGTGGTCCTTTCCACATTGATGTAACTTACTTGGTACGATGAGGAGCCTGTCAATGACTCGGGTAGAGAAGGGAGAGGGAGGAAGTTCAGGCCCATTTCTTCTCAGATCAGCTTTAGTTTCTCTGGGCTTCTGGGAGCCATGCCAGTTTACATAGCTGTCGAAGGATTGGCAGTGTTGGTCTAGTTGAAGTTTTTTTTTTTTTAAATGAATGGTATTAAGTGTTAGGTGGGCGCCTAGGTTCCCCTCTGGTCGTCATTCTGGGCTCTTGCATCATTAAGACCTTGGAAATTCTGTGAGCACTGGGTCTCCTATTGACCCCTCCTCCTTGTCCTTGGTTTACTTTATCTTTTAGGTGGACTGTGCATGCCTCAGTGGCTTTGTCCTCATCTTACAATGTACTTGTTAAGTGCTGTTGAGTCGGTTCTAACTCATAGTGACTCTGTATAGGGTTTCCAAGGAGCAGCGGGTAGCTTTGAACCATTAACCTTGTTGATGTGCAGTGCAGTACTGATCCTCCATTGCCACTCCAGGACTACTAGGAGTTAGTTGGAGCTGTCAATTTGTGAGCCTCTGGGACTTTTATAGTGTAAATCGAGTTGCCTCCTAGTTGTTCTCACTGCTTTCTTTAGACAGTGTTAGAGGGGCATGGCAGTGACAAACGGCTCCCTCCACCTAAGTGACACCTGTTGGAAAGAGAAGAACACTTCAGGCCTGTGGGGCCCTGGGGTTCCTGTAGCTGACAGGGATGGAGGTGGTTCCACCTCCTCTGATGGTCGGCTAGGAGTAGGACAGCGTGCTCCAGGCCTCCCCTGGATCCCCAGGGCTGTGGAGGAGGGGGGACAGACCCTTTTCCAGATGGGGACTCCCTGCGGTCAACAGTTACCTGGCCCTGAATATCTGGTTCCCCCCACAGATTTCTGCATGAATCCCCAGACAGTGCTACTCCTGCGAGTCATTGCTGCCTTCTGCTTCCTGGGCATCCTGTGCAGCCTTTCTGCATTCCTTCTGGATGTCTTTGGGCCCAAGCATCCAGCTCTGAAGATCACCCGTCGCTATGCCTTTGCCCACATCCTCACAGGTAACCCAGGGTCTGCTCACAGTGGGAAGGAAATGCCACAGGACTGTGTGGAGTTGCATGTGGAGGTTGAGGGGTTCCTCTGAGCAGACACCACTCCAAGTGCCAATGTCAGCTCTAGCTTTTCACAGAACAGCTGGGTGTGTTGGCAGCTAGCTTCAGTCAGTGCATGCACACGTGTCAGGGCCACAAACCCACTCAGCTCAGCCGTGGAGACATAATACTGTTAAGAGTACTACAAAGAATTCTGGGCTCTCTAAAAACTGCATTTCAAGCTCAAGTGGGCTCATGGGGCCTGGAGCTGGTGATGAAGGAGCCAAGGCCTTTCTCAGTGTATCTCTGAGTGCATGGCCTCATCAGCTTCTCTCACCTCCCTGCTGCTTTGCACACTGGCCCTCTCTGCTTTATGCAGCTTCTCTCCTCCCTCCCCATAGGCTGCCCTGTTTGATTTGTAGTGGTGCTACTTCCTGCCACCTATTCCTATCAGGCACCCAGCACCACCCACTGGGCCTCAGTATCTCAGGTTCCCAATTGTAAATTTCTAAGAGCGAGAATGAGAACGTCACCCAGGTGGGACCAAGCATCCCTGCCCACAGATCCCATGACAAGGAGTGGTCCCCCTTGTGGGCAGTGAGTTGGTGATTGATTCTTTAAGTGTGATGGTGGCAGGTGCCTGCTTACCCCCTTCCGTGCTATCCTCTGTCCCCAGTCCTGCAGTGTGCCACTGTCATCGGCTTTTCCTACTGGGCGTCCGAACTCATCCTGGCCCAGCAGCAGCAACATAAGAAGTACCATGGCTCCCAGGTCTATGTCACCTTTGCTGTTAGCTTCTACCTGGTGGCAGGAGCTGGTGGAGCCTCCATCCTGGCCACAGCAGCCAATCTCCTGCGCCACTACCCTACAGAGGAAGAGGAGCAGGCGCTGGAGCTGCTCTCGGAGATGGAGGAGAATGAGCCATACCCTGCAGAGTACGAGGTCATCAACCAGTTCCAGCCACCCCCGGCCTACACTCCCTAAGCCCAGCTCCCCTCCACCAGCTCTGCAGCCTGTGCTCACCAGAGGAGCGAGCGTCTGTTCCCCAGCCGCCCTCACTGGAAGCATCCCCAGCCTTTCCCAGGAGAGACTCTGCCTTTAGGGTTATTCATGTATCTCTGTCCTTGAAACCTGGGGTGCATAGAGTTGATATAATGCACTGTTTCCCCACCCGCTCCCTTCCCGGTCACTAATCATCACCAACCAGGGATGGTCATACAAGTTTTCTCCCTTCATGGACCATATCTCCTTGGGGACTGCTGATGGTGCTTGTGCAGTCCCAAAAGAGGAAGTGCCAGCAGGGCCCAAGGGATGGGGGTTGTGCCCTGCCAGCTCGCTTCATGAGGCTGTCGCTCTGAGCTGACCACCCTGGTCCTTCTCAGGGTGACCCGGCACCAGGCCACTCACTCACTTCATGGAATTCTCTGCACTTTAGTCTTTGTACTTCCTGTCATGTGTGTTACTGTTTCCTGGGGAAAAGGAATTGCTGTTGGGAAGCAGAGCACTTGCTCTCCCCACGCTGCCCTTGCTCTTTGTGGCTGGAGTCCCTGCAAGGAGCACAGAACCCAGCATGGGACTGAGCTTTGCTGGTGCCTACCAAAGGGCCACAGTGAGAGGGGCAAATTCTACCCCGCCCTTTCACCTCTTTCAAGGGGGTTGATTTTAAAAGGACAAAACAAAACCTAGCAGTAGCAACAACAATACTCTCTTTTTTTAAATAGGGACAAGGCTAATGTCATTTTCCAGAAATTTCTCCCATTGCAATATTTTGGGCCTCAGCTTCCTCCAAGCCCATGATAGTTCCTCCTTGAGCCTCTCCCAGCAGAATGCAGCCCTCTCCCTCTTCCCCTCCCTTCCTGGTGACTAACTCCCTGGGGCTTTCTTATGAAATCCAAAGTCCCTTGTCTTCAAGGGGCTGAGGACCCTGTGGCTTGGCTGGCTGGGTCAGCGTGGTGCTCCTCATGATTGCGGCACTGAGATGTAACCTGGCCTCAGTTCAGGAACAAGGACCATGGCGTGGCATGAAAAATCACCGCTTTCCACATAGGAGCCACAACCAGCGGGACCCCATCACGTGAGGTTTCAGAACCACCCAGTCAGACTAGCAGACCTGGCTGTATGCTTCAGGCTCTGCGTGCCCCCAGACTGTAACCTGGGCTACAGCTTGCTGCATGCCCCCTCCCCTTCTTGAATGTACTCTGGTCTTGCCGTGAGCTTCTGGCTCTTTCTTGGCCAGCTGTCACTCTAGTGAGCCCACACATGCTTCTGGATCTGACTCAGTTTTTGGCCTTGAGATCTGGGGCATAACATGCGTGAAGCTTGAGAGACTTCAGTGTGGATTCAAATGGCCAAGCTGTCTGTCCCACATGAAATTTCTAACTTCTCTGGGATCAGAGCCTGGGGCTGAGCTGAACAGGGGGTAGATCCCAATCTCTCCTCATCCTGAGGCTGATACAGACTGAGACTGGAGATTGTCACCATGCTGGGCTGTGGTTGAATCGCAAATGTCATGTAATTCCAGTGTGCCTGTCTGTCTTCAGTCACACTGACAGCCAATGTCTGGGGGAGTTGAAGACCATACCCTCACGTGAGTGAGTGTCTGCCTACCTGGAGCTCACTGCTGTGACACCAATGTTTCCCAATGTGACTCTCACTCTTCAAGACTTTCTTCTCTTAGGCAAGAAAGACTGCCGAATAATACCTGAGCACAAAGCCAAGGAGCTTACCAAGTTTTGTCTTTCTGTTAAGTACCCAGTTTGTCTTGGCAAGTTTCTGAGGTGTGGCCAGCTCTCTGACCACGGGCGTCTGAGCAGGCAGGCCCGGAGACCCGGCCACTGAACACGCATGCCAAAGTGACTGGTCATCTCATGACCTGGACGTGACCCTGTGGGGTTCCGAACCCACTTTTTATTAGCTTCCCATGCCTCTGGCTTTTCTTTCTCTTTCACCCCGTCACCCCAACACTGATTGTTTGTCACCTAAATCCCCTGGTTGTATTTTATTGTTTTGTTTTTTTTCTAGAAAATAATTTAAAAAACAAAAACAAACTACAAATAAGAATGTAAATGTCAATGACTACCTGTCATTTTTTCTGTCACAGTTTTCCCTAATTTGGCTTGTTCCCATCTTCAGGAAAAATTTTTAAGCTTGTAGTTATAATTAATTAAAAGAAAGCAAGCAAGAAAGGACTTGCAGGTGCCCACTCCATGCAAGCCAAGGTCACCAACAAGGCCCCACAGCCAGGGTCCTACAGTTAGAAAAAACGGATGACTCCCCGCCAAGTCCTCAACTTCAAACCCTGACCTCTTCTCTCTGCAGAAGAGAGAGTTGCTTCTGAACGCTAGCCCTGGTGCAGAAGGAAACACACCTCTTCAGGGCTGGGCCTTGTAGAAGAAACTGCACCTTGTGAAGCCACGGGGGATGATACTGGGAGAACAGATGTGAATGGAAAGAGCTCCGTGAGACTTGTAGCAAAGCTCTTCAGGATCAGTGCTAGGCCTTGGTGGTCACCACATTCTCGTCATTCATTCATAAATTCAGCCAACACACCGAACTCCAAAAGTATGTCAGGGTAAAAGCTTAGGTCTCCCTTTAGGGAGGAGCCCATTTAGGTGTTCTTTTATTTTATTTTCATTCCTGGAAAGAATACATTATCTTTCTTGAGTGCTTGGGGTGTATTCACTCTCATTTCAGATTTTTTTAAAGGGCTCCCTGGACTGTGTAGAACTGTTAGACACTGTGAAGGAAACATAACCAGCAATTCTGTCCCCAAGGACTTTAGGGTCCTATTTGAGATGGATATCCACATTTGACTCCATGAAGAGGCAGAAGGAAATGAGTGGTCTGGTGGACGTCTGGTCTGGGGAGAGTGCTATGGATGCTGATTCTGACTGATCTGAAAGGCATTTGGAGGTGGTGTGATGGTGTGACGGGAGGACATTCCCCACTGAGGGGACGGCAAAACAAAGCACAACTGGTGTGAAGAGACATGAGGGTAGAAAGGTGAGTGGAGCCCATCTAAGTCACTTGAAAGGATTTTTTTTTTTTTTTAGTTGTGAATTATGTGATAGTTTACATGGGAGAACACCAGCTTTACATTCATCCTATAGTATTTCATTTCATCGCAATGATTACAATCCCCTCCATGCACCAACCAACCAAAGGGTAACACCTCGCAAGCCTGCCCCCTGGTGGTCAGTAAACAGCCCTTCTTCCTCTCTGGATCTACAGTCCCCAGCTGCTCCATCTCTCCATGTCGTTGTCTCTGCCTTCATCTGTGGCATCACTACTTCTCTGGGTAGGGTCCCAGAGACCTCCGTACCTGAACTGCAAAATCAACCACTCCCTTTTGTTACAAAACCATCTACCTTTACATTTCCGACCTTCACTGTCAGTCCTACTAGCAATAATTCACTATTGACTGAAAGGATTTTGAGAAGGGAAGGGAGGGATTTAGCTCTGTGTAATGCAAAATGACCAAGAAGATTCTGAGAAAGTGTTAGCCTGGAGGGGTTTGAGGAAGCCAAGGTAAGTCAGCTCAAACAATGAGTGGGTGGGTGTGGACTGTAAAGGTCTACACTGGGAGGAATGTAGGAAACGGGAAGAGGTGGTTTCTTCCAGGAGAGCAGTTTTCTTAAAATAATTAGTGAATCTTTTTAGCTGATAGGTAACGCACAGATGTCCATACTATGCCACTACAGAACTGGGACACAAGGTTCTGTGAGAAGACACTAAGGAACAAATAAAGTTTATGACCCTCGTTTTCAAATAACCTAGAATCTTTACTCTTCCCTTGAGGCTTTTTATTGTGGGATGGGGGTTGATGTGTGACATTTTAATGAGAGCAGGAGTGCTTGGAAGAGACCTCTCTTTGAATGGGTCCACTTGAAGGTACTCAACTAGGGATATTGTTTTGAGAATTAAGACACTAAGCTATGGGGGCAATGCTTGGCTTTGTTGCTGAGGGTTGAAGGTAAAGGTAGTTTCCTTAGTAAAGATTTCACTGTGTCTTAGACCTGAAGGATATATGTTGGATGAGCCTGCCCACTCAGCAGTGGGAAACAGTAGTGAATTGTGAGAGCCTTCAGAAGACATTTAGGAGAGAGACAGTGCTCAGCTCAGCCATGTGTTGAAGATGATCCAGGTCTCTCAGAATGGCCCCTTCAGAAAGCCCTGTTTGGAAGATTCCTTGTCCCTATTCCTGTCTCTTGAACAAAAATGGCAAGTAACTCTGTAAGGACCTTCTCAATGGTAAGATCTGGCAACACCATGAAGCCCAGATCTTATACCTCCTTGGTTTCATTTTCCTCTAGAGGTCCTCTCTCCTAGCTTTCTACTACTACCGATAGGCAGGCTTTCTTCTGTAATAACCTTGGAGTGGTTGATAGGGTTTATTTGATGAAGAGGAATGGTGTCCCTTATTTCTTTCCCACCCATGAGTACATAACCCAATTAGAGGAGCACAGGCTTATGTGTGCCTACTGGTCTGTAACCAACTTGATAGCACTTAATTGAAATAAACTCATTTTCACCACATCAAAGATGCTGTTTCTAGGCATGGCTGCCACCTGTCTTCCACCCCAAAAACACCTTCCTGAAGAATCAAAGTCTCTTTTCAAATGTATAATCCCTGACAGGGTTAGAATACCCAGTAAGCAAGGTCGGCACAGACTTCTTTGTACTTACTAATCTATAATGAACAGTTCCACATATTTTTTACCACATCACATGCTCTGTGGACGATGTAAAAAATAATAACAGATAAGGTCTTTGCCCTTAAGTGCCTTTCTATCCAGCCACCTGACTGACAAGGCTGAAACAGGCAATGCCAAAAGGGGCACCCTTTATATATAATGGATGGAAGGGTTCATGAAGGTGGAGATGCCAGGTATGGGCCTTGCTTGCGAAACGGTAAACTTTGGTGAAAGAATGATGTGATGAATGGTGTGAGCGCAAGAAAGGGTTCTTTTGAGGGAATGCCAATT